ACAAGGGGAGAAGCGAGAGAATCCATCGAGGAAAGAAATGGGCCCGAAGAGAGAATACGATGACTTGGCCCAGCCATCCAGCGCGGGAAGCACCGGAGACGACAGCGGCGGCGGCGATGCTAGACCGACGAAGGCCCCACGGTTGCCGGCAGCACCGCCACCGCCCGCGCAGTCTCCCTCTCGCGACCAGACGGGGCTTCCCACCTCACCGTCCCCGCTTCAGCCTCCAGGGTCCCCGCCGCCTCCCGCCGACAAGGATCCGGTGAGTTCTCAGCGCCTTGTACCATCTTGGGTTGCGATTGCTCGGCGATCTTTTCGGCAGAATCTGGTCCGGTCGGCGAAATTGGGTGTTCTTGCCCTGTTCTTGCGCCCAGTTTGCGGGGGATACGAGTTCTTGGCTGGCTGTCGGATCGGGCGCGGTGGTCAGTTCCTGGGGGGATGAGTTCTTGGCTGTAGCATCGGCCGCGTTCGTAGGTTCCTCCAATGGATTAGTTTGATATAGGCGCGGACCCTTCTGGAAGTCCTTGCAGTTAGTGGGGATGTGTGGGATTTTCTAATTTGACCCAAAATTGTGGTACAATCAGCTGAACTTGGTAACCCAAGAAGGATGTTCTGGTATTCCCTGTTCACTCCATTTGTGCTGGAAAATTCCTCTTATACAAGGAATGCTCTACCATTTTCTAGGTGGAGCTGGAAGAAGGGGAGCTAGGAGATGATGAACATTCAGGGGAGGAAGAAGAGGATGATCAGGATTCGGAAGGGGAGCTCGGGGGGTCACGTCCTGGTAACTTCCTCTCTATACTCTTCATGAGTGATGAGGAAACATAACTGATGATATCATTTCATTGCAACTTATTCTTTCTACTGCTCAGATGGGAGAACGGACCATGCCCTCACTGGTGGTTTCGGGTGTCGACATGCTCGTCCGACAGCATTAGGACCTCAGGTGAGAATGCTGTACCTTAGAGTTTTTTAAACTCTTCAACGATGAAGTGAATGCCCTCTATAATGGAGTAAATTCTCTTTCTTGTGCTCGGATCAATTTCAGACCACCTGAGCAGGGACTGCACCTGAGCGTACCTGAACGCCCGAATGTCTTATTACCATAGACTATTACAAGATATTCAATTTTTTTTTGCCAATTGACTATCACATAATATTTGGGAGTTACATTCTCAAACATTTCCTCAGTAAACTTGTTCAGTGCCCCAGTCGTTCTGTGTTTGCTTACTGTTTTAGTATATAATCTTAGATGTTGTATTGAGCAATTGCAATCTTAGATGATGTAAGCTCTTCAACCATGAAGTGAATGCACTCTGTAAAGCAATAAATTCTCTTTTTCGTGCTCGGTTCAGTTTCAGACCACCTGAGTGTACCTGACCTCCCATACGTCCTTTTACCGTAGACTATCACAAGATATTCAGTTTTTTGCCAATTGACTATCCCATGATATTTGGGAGTTACATTCTCAATCATTTCCACAGTAAGCTTGTTTAGTGCCCCAGTCGTTATGTGTTTGTTTATTCTTTCAGCATACAATTTCTTAGATGTTGTATTTAGCAATTAAACAGTGGAAAGTACTATGATGTCGGCAGATGTTAAATGAATATCACTGTGAATTGTAATCAATATTTTGCACCTTATAATTTCTTCTTTCTTGAAACAGAAGTTCTCTTACCATGAAATCCTCAGTTTTTTTCCATGTGTGAAAACCATAAAAACAATTTTGCTTCATCAGCATTACTATTCCAAATCCATGCTCAAGTTAGAGGACTGCATATCATCCATCATACCTTAATGCTACCTTTTGTGATTCTTATTCTTGTTATTGCAGGAACAACTCTCGGAATTGGTTCGTGAATCTCCAGATAATTCCATCATCCAGGAAAAGATGAAGGTTTGTCTGCCTTCAGCTAATTTCATGCTAAGCATTGTCATGATTTAGTTTGTTGTGCATATCTGAAAATCATTTTCTTACATAGATTCTCAGTAAGCATTATGTGCTCTTCAGAAGAACTCGCCAAGATGGCAGCTGTTTTTACAGAGCTTTTATGTTCTCCTACATGGTAACTGTTTCAGTTTACTTAATCATGATGATGGTATTCCTTTCTTGATCTGCATGGAAATGTAATACAAATAGGCTTGTCTACAGGAGATCCTTCGACAGATGCAAGATAAACAAGCTGAGGTTACTCGTCTTATGGAATGTTTGGAAATGTCTAAAGGTAGATTCTCTTGTCTTGTGTGGCACAAAGCAGACTTCTCAATAGATCCTGAAGAATACTTCTCAAGTGTTGTTTCTGTAAGTACTGTACTAGCTTACAGAAGCATAAACATTTTCCCCCCTTATCTCCTTCTCCATTTATGTAAAAAATAATTACATACATAAAACAATGCCTTAAAACAGACTGAACAATGCCTTAAAGAAAATAACAGATGGATAAGATGATGCAGAGTGCAGGACAACTACATGGGTAGGGCACTAGAATGTTTCATTCCTTCACAGTTGTATTAAATTTTCAGTTTGCCATGTTTTATGTTGTTCTTGATGATTGTTGTTTTGATTTCAAATTTTCGCTTAATTGTGGGCACTATGCCACTATCTAACAGCTATAAGTGCTTGCTGCGAACACCAAATTCACTATGAACATAATTGAGCATTACGTATCAATCAACATGATCTTTGGCTGGGTTTATATGATATTTTTTCGCCACTGCTTCTGGAAGAGGGATGGACTCCTGTACCACTTTGACATTCTCTTCATGATACAGCTTAAATTAGATACATAACCTAGTGTCTCCACTTTGTTTCAGGAGCTCAATGAGGTTCTCAATGTCATTGCAGCAGGGTATGTGTATGTTTTAACTTGATATTCATAGAAAGGTCTTGACGATATATTTAAGATACCTTCATTTCGTGTTAGTTATATTTTTGTTTACAAACAAGTTCTGTTGTCTTTTGTAGCTGTACTTCTGAATGGCTGTACCAGAGAAGCCTGCAGGAGTCGTTTTCAGGCAGGAGTAAGGATATCGATCCTTGTTTAGGATGTGTTGTTTGTCTATTTGTTCTGTATATAACATGTTTTTGCCAGTTATTTCTCTCCTTAGGTTGCTTACTGAGACAGAAATCCGTACAGACGAGTTCTACAAGCAATCTATCCCTAAAAATTTGAATGTCCTCCAGGTAGAATTTCTGCTCCCTCGTATTATCCTCGGATATCATTCTTGGTATACTGTACTACAGATGGATTATCTTGCCCTCTTTGTCCTTGAGACTTGGCATACTAATTATCTTTCTCTCTGGATAAACATTTGAACTCAGAAATAAAGTTTCCCACTAGTCAATTTTCTGTGATTTACGATATAAAGATAGCTAATACTACGTTTAGCACTGACAGATTACACTCACCATTATTCCACATATATGGTTGTGATAACAGTTCTGTTGGAAAGCGGTGCGATCCCTGGATGCTGAAGCTACCACTACACAAATGAGGGCTTTAACGTATGCACTCGGCATACCGTTGCGTGTTGAAGTCGTGGACAAGAGTTCGACTGATCGAGGTGTGTTAGTGAAGCACCTCGATTTCTTCCATGAGTCTGACTTGGAGAAGGGCCCTCTCCGTTTGACTCCGAGCTACCTTTCTTCGAGCACAGCTCCTATACCGCTGAAGCAGGGAAGCTATGATGCTGACTTGCTATCATCTGATGGCACACCCATGCTGGCCTTACTGTGTCGGCATGGCCATTGTGACATTCTTTACCGCAAGTGAACAAACTATGCGAGTTCGCTCGCTCGACAAAAACTTCCTCCGGGATGATTATAGGGAAACCTAGTAACAGTCTTGTATAGTGTGGGTGGCCGTTTGTCGGTCTGCTCCCAAACAACCTGTAACTACTTCTGCTACGAGGTTTACCCTGAATGACATGCCATGCTCTACTTCTTGCTGAAGCTGTTGTTAGTTACTCATGTATTTAGAAGGAAGCTACAGAATAGAAGATGTGATAGGACCATATGAAGAATTATTGGGATACTGTTGTGTGCAAGATTTGCAACATCAGACCTGGCTTATATCAGATTCTTCGAATAAGCAATTTCGATATGAGCTTGACTGCTAATGCAAAGTCAAGAACTTCTTTGAAACCAAACCTGGATTATATCAGATGAATTGAACATCGAATGTGAATCTTGTGTAATCTTTAATTTTATTTTTCTTCACAGGCCTCTTATCTCTTCACACATAAGCGAGAGTGAATACACATAACTTTTTTTCAGTTTGTGGCAGTGTGTTTCTAGGGCATGAAATTCTGACTGATGCAGTATGGTGCCAATCCCAGTTACTTTCCAATATGGAAACTTGCACTTCTCCAGGGAAAACTTAAATGCTATTTATATGTACTCTTAGGGAAGTGAACCATCTGTACTGCTTGTTGCACAACTTACATCATTGTTAATTGCTTCACGTTTGTTGATATCCCAATTTCTTCTCAGTTTAGGCTTTTAGCCGATCGACGTCTTGACGTTGTCCAAGATGAGTTTCACACTACTCTCGGTTGTTCAGGCCATTACTATAGTAAAAGCAATGCAAGTGCCATGAAAAATGGTTTTCAATCAAAACCGAAGCCATCTATCGACACTAACATAGAAAAAACTCGACAAATCAAGGGCCTCCTGAAACAACAGATAATTTGGCAATCGTAGGTCACAGCCACACTATGTGAGTAATATCAGGACCTATTAGATCTAGATATCGATAATAAGATACTATATGAGTAGTAGCAATATAAAACTGATATAGCAAGCAGTAACCCCAGAACACAACCATCAGGACTATCCTCAAAGCAAAAAAAGCAAGCTGCTCAGCCACACTTTCCAACACCTAGCTACTCCCTTCCAATTTGCTTCCTGGACGTAGTATAGTTAGCTGCGCTATGATGTGTCCCCAGTTTGGTCACAAAGGGATCTGGTTGCGCAAACAGCCCGAGTCTTGTTTCACAAACTAGGATCTTTGTATTTCGTAGACCGCCCACCAAAGGCTCGCGATACCGGACGGTACACGAACAAACCAGCACAAGAAAGCCATGGCGGTAGCAGTCATGAAGCTTGGACAGTGATTTCCCAGGCAAGATCTGAGATCATTGTCAAGGAGAACAGTGATGCCTGCTGATCCACACGCTGCGCTGAAGATCATTACTCCTGTAACCTACGGAGAAAACATCAGGGTCAAAAACCAAATTATTGTTTTTGAAAGATAGACATGACCTATAGATGATTCTTTGCCTATTCAAAACACAAGTAATGACAGGCGGTTGTTTGTTTGAGGTGCCTGAGAAAACATGACTTACCCAGTCCCCAAGGGCAAGCATGCTGAAAGCTCGGGCATTTCGGAAGGAACGTTTGAAAAGAAGTGCATAGAGATCCACAATGGCCACAACGAGGCTCCACAGGCATTGCACAGTTGCTGCTACTACGAGGTAGCTGCTCAAAAGAACAACAATAAGTTCATCTACAGAAGGGAGAAAAATCCCGGATTTCGAGTTCTAACAGCAGCATCCAAAGTGAAAAACCGTCAATTTACGGCACTAAAAAGATAATGTACCATACTAGCTAGTACTTGTTTCGTGCTGATATATACTACTCCCAATACTGAATGTAGATCTTCAAATGTTTTCCTCAAGGAAGGAAATGTATGCACACAATTGTTCAATTACAATCATACTATCCTGAGTTCTGGTAACCAAAATGTGAAAAAAACTTATGAGCGTACTCAACAAAATGCTTTTTGCTGAATGCCTAGATAAATATGTCATGTGAATTGTCCAAACAAAAAAACCATGTGAAGATCAAACTCCTGATTTTTGCAGAAAATGCTTATGACTATGGATTTATGGTCAGAAAAAATCTCAAGCTAAACATTGTTGTGTCCAAAAAAGACAAGTGAGAAAACATCACAGGGAACATGATCAAGCGACCATCTGATCGTACTGCCTCTTTCAGGCTGCCAAGTTTTTTTTTTTTGCGAGGTTCAGGCTGCCAAGCTAATTGAAAATTTGGACGAACAGATACGAACATTTCTCGAGGACACAATCATAATTTCCAGTGCAAACTTGTATCTGAAAGAGGAGAGACGCTGGAAATTTTGGCTAATGCAGTCGTTCATACATAACCCTCACAATGAAGAATAACCCCTGAAAAATTAACTGAAAGCCGACTGCCAGGTAGACGATTTAGCTACTGCAAATTGGTTCTGAAATAAAACTGAGACCGTAGGAAGAAAATCGCGGAGCAGGAGAGCAGAAGGGAGAGAGTAGGAGGAGAGGACGCACCGGAACGCGGTGACGGAGGCGAATCCGTGGGTGGACGCCATGGCGGCGACCGCGGCGGCCGCGAAGGCGGCCTGTGCGAGGCGCATCCCGGGCCGGCACCGCTTCCCCCTGTTCCTCATAATGACCCCAGGCGGCGCGTTCCCGTCCCCGTTCGCCCCGTCACCCTGCGCCGCCTCTGCCGCCGGCGCTGCCGCCTGCCACTGCGCTGGCGGCGCCGCCACCACCACCGGGTGGGGGTGCACCACCGGATGGCTGTACAACCGCGGCATCGTGTCCCTTCCTCCTCGACCCACGCAACCGAAAGGTGGTAGCTAAGCTAGTACGGAGGAGTACCTTGCTTCGTCTGCTGGTTTCTCTTCTGCGACCTCCTTCCAAGAGACTTCCTGCAAGGTGTCTGGTCTTTGTGTGCTTTTCGTGTTCCCAAGATCGAGCATGTTCCACTCTGGCTGTAAGGAATTAAAGGTGATCCATTACTCCACGTCATTTGTAAATGTGGTTGCATTGTTCCATTTTGCCACATTTCTCTCTCTCGACCACAATTCTTTCTCCCTATCTCTAGACAATCTTATCTGCAACGCATGTATTTTGTTTCATTTCTCTCTCTCGACCACAATTCTTTCTCCGTCCAGCATCTCTAGACAATTTTACACTGATATCCCCAGCCCACCAGGGTTCAAGTATTAAATTTGACACTAGTGCTTGCATTTTTCTAGCTTTATTTCAGCCCTTTTGACGATGTGCGTTTAGTGGGAGGAGACGTTCCCGTCGACTAGGAGGAAGTCTGGGCGACATCGTCAATATCTAGATGATGTGTCAGCTTAGTCTCTAAAAGATGCTCATAGAAATAGGGTGTATGTGCATGTGTTCATACTTCATAGAGATGAGCGCTTGTGTATGTATTGTGTTAAGAAAAAAAATAGTATAACCCTTCATGCAGGAAAAGTAAACCTACACGAAAACTACGACAAAACATAGACGAAACAATATTGCATACATCATTCGAAGCACCTCCATCTTGCAAAAATCGGCTAATTGTTTGTCAGGGTCTGGCATCGAGGAGTCGGTGTCAGTAGTGCCACTGTGGGCGCGTCAGGGCTTCAGCAGCGTTAGCAGACCACATGTAATGCAGACCAATAACACTGCCCAAAATGCAAATCATTACGATAGCTTCAAAGTGGTCACACATCATTGCACTGCTTAACATATTAATCATGGATTTGTTGGAATCACTCGTCCATAGACTTGCCACATGTTCATAGCTACTCCCTTCGTTCGAAAATACTTGTCAACAAAATGAATAAAAAGGAATATATCTAAAACTAAAATACATCTAGATACATACCTTTTTATTCATTCTGATAACAAGTATTTTCGGACGGAGGGAGTACATCCTACCTCTTTATAACACCATGCACGAAATGCCATAGCAAATTAAACGTATCACATCACATTGTTAAGCGAACCAACCTGTGGTTGGATGGTTAGAAGGACAGTGGTATCCTCAGCCCATCAACGTTCAAATCCTGATGTTCGCATTATTCCTGAATTTATTTCAGGATTTCTGGCGATGCGCTTTCAGCGGGAGGAGACGTTCCCATCGATAACGAGGCGCCTACGGTGACTTCTTAAATTTCAAGATGACATGCCGGCTCAGTTTTTCGGAGGTTCTCATAGGGATAAGGTATGCGTATGTGCGTTCATAGGGGTGAGTGTATGCATGTGTATATGAGCGCTTGCGTCTGCACTACGTTAAAAAGACATTATTAAAACAGCAAAATTATCTTGTGATGAGTCTTTG